CGGGATCTGTTTCTCTTAGTGTTGCAGCAAAAGCGGCTTCTTTTTCTCGGTCTCTTTGTTTTCTCTCCTTGGCCTCCTCCTCGTCATGGCTATAGAATACTGAGGAGGCAATTCTTACTAACATCTCAAGTGAGCCATCTGGGGTGAAAGCCATTTTTAGTAGCATTTTCTCTCCAACCTCCCATCTCATTGGGACCCCAAAACCAGTTAGTGTCCTCTCCCCAACTGTCAGCACAGGCAGGAGGAATCTTGCTGCAGACTTCTCCAGAGCTCCACCACAGCCTATACTGTCAGGAGAAGAATGGCTTCCAGAGAGTCTCCACAGGTATTGTGCAAGGTCCTCCTGGTTTACAGCTTCCAAGCTGCTGTCATGACCCCAGTCCACAGGACCTCTGACTCCTTGGGCTTAGTCTATATTCCCATGGTCTCTGAGTACTTGTTCAGCAGCTGCTCCTCCCCTGACTCTGGACATTTCTGGTTCTCAATGGCAGGAGAAAGAGTGACCTGTCGTATGGCATGTATTCCCAGGGGTTTCTCCATGTTTGAATGATTCACACACGTCCATGGGTGGGCATCCGCAGCCGATGCATGGTGGGCCAATTGTGTCATTGTTTCTCTGTGTCATGGTAGTTCTCAATTGAGTGGCGGTGGCCGGCCTGAGGGCTGGAGCACAACAGCAGTCACCTCTGAGGGGCTCCCCATGCGCCGCGGACTCTCCTTCTGGGAGCCTTCAAGTCAGGGAGCGAGCCCGCCAGAAGACCAGCGCTCCCCGCCTGTGGCTCCTCATGCACCTGGGCCCCTCCTCCCAGTGACCTTTATAAAGGCCTTCAGTGCGACCCCACTTCTTCAAGTCTCCACTGCTTTCTATAGTATCAAAGTGGGGAGTAAACCTGTAACACACAGATTTATGGGGAACACCTAAAATCCAAAAAAAGCACTCACCCAAGAGACTTTTATTTCTCATAGTTCCAGAAGCTAAAAATTGAAAAGCAAGGTGTCAGTGTGTTGTGATCTGTTTAAGACACTCTTCTAGGTGCAGACTTCTGACTACTTCTTTTCTCCTTATGGAGGGGTGAGAAGCCTGAGAGCTCACAGAGATCCTTTTTTAATACCACCAATCCCATGTATGAGGGCTCCACCCTCAAAATCTAATCACAGCCCTGTGGACCCACCTCCTAATATCCTTACATTGTGTGATGAGATTTCAATATGTGGACTGGGGGACAAAAACATTCAGTCTGTCACAGAGCAAGAGAAAGGGCAGGGAGCCTGAGAACCTTTCTGTCTCTTTTGAGTATGCCAGGGATTTTGCTAATAAGAAGTACATATTGTCTATTATTTCTTTCATGATGTTAGATTTTTAAGTTCAACATTTTTACAAATGGAGAACATGGAAGCTGAAGTTTGTGCTTACTGTTTTTAAGTGCTGTGGGTACCTCGGTACAGGGACATGTCAGGTGGCAGATGTTCACCGAGTTTCAGTGGGAATCTATGGAGGTAACATCCATACACTTATCAATGAAATTGTGCACAGTTATACCACAAGAATCAATCTTTGCCCTTAAAGATAAGGGTTAGATGAATTTTAAAACAAAGAATTGAAGTTGTAACAGTAAGCAGTCATTTTCAAACTGATTTCTTAGAAACTTTCAGTTCTCCACAAGAGGAAGATAAGGAGATCAAGTAAGAAGAAAGAACAGATGGTTTTGCCTTCCACATTGTTCATAGGAACGTAAACTAGCATAGCCGTTGTGGAAAGAACCATGGAAATTCCTCCAAATAAAAACAAAAGAGCTATTTAACCAAGTATACCTCTTTTAGGTACTTTCTTTCAAAAGTTAAAATCATCATATTATAGTCATCCATGCATACCTATGTTTATAGTGCACAATTCATAAAATCTAAACTATGGAAAGGGCTTCTATGGCTATCAGTGGCTGAACAGAAAGGAGAGAAATTTTAGGAAAATGGATGAATACTGAGTCTGTAATGCTTAGTGGGATAAATCAGACACAGAAGATGAAATATCACATGCTTTCTCATATAAGAGATTCAAAGTGTAAATAGTTTAAAGAGCAACATAAAAAATATGATAGGATGATAGACTTCGTGGAGATAAGAAGATCTGAATATGTGGAGAAATGGAAGGGAAGGGAGGAGAAAGGGAAGTGAAAAGAATGAAGATGTGATTTGCTTGTGCATGGATACCTCATGATGAATTAATTCATTATGTAAAGTAAACATACACTAATAAAAATAATGAAAGGTTCAAGTCCCTCAATTTTGGCAAAACCAGCATATTAGCACTTACATATTTTTTATAGTGAGACTATATGTATAACTTTAGAAGGAGAAATTGTGTGGTTTTATGAAAACTTAAAATCCAATATACTAAGGTGTCATTTTTCTTATGAACATATTCAAAATTTAAGCTTACAATTAGTATATATGTTTTTATGCTTTTAAATTAGTGATTATATGAATAGAAGTACCAGTGAGTAATGATTTCAACTAAGCATTTAACAACAGTAATTGTTTAAGTAAATTTCTAATACATATTAGCCAAATTTTTGTATTTTTAATTCATTTTCACCATTCCAATATCTATTCATATGTTAGTTAGATTGTGCTTTCCCCTGTATAAAGATGTACCTTAAATTTTCTTACCTGGTTCTTAGATTCTTTCGAGAAGATAGTCCTTGGGAACCAAACCTGAGGGTGCTATAAAACAGCATTCAGGAGGATTCTCAGAAACCCCTGTCCTTGGATTCTTCCCTGCTCAGAAGTTTCCTGCTTTGCTGATTTTTTATCTCTACCTTTACCTTCAGAACACTTTGGGCCCCTATACTCCCCTCGACCCCAGAAGAGAAGGCAACTCTTTTAAGTCATTGGGCAACAAAAAGTTTCATTTTTAGGGTTTTTATTTTTTAAAAATATTCTGCCTGAAAATATTACCAAGTATAATAGGTGTATTTCTGATGTCTGTGGTTTATTGAGAGGAACAGTCAATGCTTAAAATTTTCTTTTTTCCTGACCAATTTTGCATGTTTGAATTTGGTAATCAGAATGACTTATCTGAAAACAACAATATGCAGTATAAGAACCATTGTTGAACTCCTGCTATCTTGTATGGTGAACCTCTGCATCATTTCCAATTTTTTTTTATTACTTGTTACTGTCTTTTATTGTTTGATCAGTCTTACATTCGTACATCTGGTGGACTGAGCAACTTTGTTGAAGATAACAGTATGTAATGTAGCAACCACTGTTAACTCCTATCACTTTGTTTTGAGGTCATGTAATGTTTTTGATGTTTTTATGTTGTTTTGGTTTTGTCTTCATTGCTGTTTTGTTAGTTTTTTTAAATTTTTAAAATAAAAACAAAGCATTACCAAGCATAAGCTTGTACAATAGACATAGAACCCGAATCTATGGCACTGGGTTTTTGCAAAAAGAACAAGTTTTCACGAAGGCTAACCAAGGAGACAGGAGGCTCACTCAAATCTATTTTCCTGGTCATCATGTAGGGAAGATATTTAAAAAACACAAGGTAATGTGTTTTTGGGCTGGGAATATTGCTCAGAGGCACAGCTCCTGCCTACCAAGCATGAGGTTGTAAGTGTTTTTTTTTTTTTTTTTTTTTTTTTTTTTTTTTTTTCCTAGTACCGGGAATTGAACTCAGGACCTTGCTCTTGCCAAGTAAGGTGCTGTACCGCTGAGCTATATCCCTGGCCAAGGTTGAAAGTTTGATTCCCGGTACAAAAAAAAAAAAAAAAAAAAAGGGGAAATGGAAAGCTAAATGTTGTAATCGGGTGTCTTAGTGAATTATTCTACACCCAGTATGCTGGTCCAGGTGGAAATCATGGACAATTTTGACCAATCCTGCAACCGCAGAGGGCACCATCAGTTCTAAGTTAGGTCTCAGAGGCTTTGTATACTTCCTCAGCTTCCATTCACTGGAGACTTTGAATTCTGGGAGGCCCTCAAGGAGATTTTAGGACAGGCCTTAGAGCTCGGCACTTGCATCCTAAAACTTGGCTGTGACAGTTTTTAGGAGCAGAAAGTTGGTAGTTTAAGGACTGGCTCCAAAAGCGACTTACCCTTGATTTTAACCTCAGCTTTCACATTTCCCAGTTGACACACAGTGGGGCAAACAACAGCTTCATTTGCTTTTTTATGTTCTTGCCCCTTGTTTCCCTTTCCAAGTCAATGCCCTAGAACACGCAACATTTTGTATGGATACTGCACATGTGTGAGAAGCAGAACATGAGCCGAGAATCAACAATCCTGGCCAGCCAGGCTCTTGGAGGGTTCTTCACATTCACATAGGGAAAAAGTTAGTTCTTAGGGTCATCCTTAGGATGTAACCACATTGGTCCCTTAATGGTGGGTAGAGAACATGGTTAGAACAGTTTGTAACACACCTGTGATTTGCTCCCTCTTTCATCCTTAGGTACCACAAACTTCCTGATTACCATTACCTTGTCATTACCAAGACCGCTTCCTGAATGCTTCTGTCCACTGCCTGAACACCTTGAAAACATATGCGGTGGACTCTTCACAGGTGATGGCTTGTAAGGACAGTACTGGAGGAGGGATTATAGCTGTGATCACCAGTGCCTTAATGGGCAGAACAGATCTTCCCCAGATCCAGGCTGCAGTCCTGTTTTATCCAATGGTCCGGGTCATAAATCTGCAGATATAAAATGATTCATATTTCACACAAGATTTAATAGTTATGTGCATATGTAAGTATATGACCGTCGAGCCCTCTTGGCAAGATACCTTGGTCAAAGGTGTTCGTATACCCCAGATGCCTAGAAGAAGTACAGGAAATGCCTCAGCTCCAACAACATCCCCAGCAGATCCAAGAAAAAGACCCAGAACCCGAGTTTCTTGGGCATTTTAATGATTCTGCCTACCTGGAAACCAAGAATATATTTGATGTAGAACACTTGTCCCTTCTGGCAGATGAGACCACTGCTCAGTTTCCCTAGACCTTCCTGGTGAGGTGTGAAAAAGACCTCCTCTGTGATGACACCTTGCTCTACAAGAAGCACTCAGAAGAACAGTGGGTCCTTGTGACCTGGTACCGTGTGTAGGTTTGCTTTCATGGATGCTTACTTTTATTTGATAGGGAGGGCTTATCTTTCCCCTGCTCAATGAAAGCTACAAATGCCATAGTTTGTTATATAAATGGCATATGAATGGAATGTAGTTACTCACTCTTGGAATCCCAATACCCTGAACGGCAGAGGTTCAAACTAGCATGGGAAACTTGATAGTTTAGCAAGACTATGTCTCAAACAGGAAATGGGAGCGCTTCGGACTTAGCTCAGGGATAAGGTCCTGAGTTCAATCCCCAGTACTGCAAAACACAATAAAACAATAATAAAAAGTGCACAGACATATGGAGGGCTGGATGTATTGCTCAGAGTTAAAGCATGGGCCTAGCGTGCACAAGGCTATGGTTTTAATCCTCATCACCAAAGATGTTTCTTTTTGCTTTGAAAAATGAAAAGAAAATATGGTAGTAACCCCAGGACCTTGAGCAATTCGAGACAAGGATGCAACCCTATGCAAAGGATTTTTGTATTTCTTTACATCTCTTTGCATCTGGGGATTCTGCCTTGTTTTATTTTAGGTGGGAAGGAGATGCTGAATTCATCATAGCCCAGGCAGGGATGAAGAAATGGAAGTGAGAACTGTCTTGCTTCAAGAAAATCCAAATTCAGTGTTTCCTTCCAGAACCAAAAGAGCTCATTGTGCATCTGTTAACATTCTCTAATGTTCTCACTTAGGTCAAATAAATATCAGAGAAGACTATGTATTAAAGTATTTTTGAAAACTTAGTCCATACATTTTGTGTAGAATAAGCATAAACAGCTAGTCCCACTGCTCGTGGTGAACTCATGTCTATGATAACTAAATATTGCAGGATCCATGGCCCTGCTGGATGGGTGGAATCACCTCAGTTTTTCTAGGGCCAAGCCAAATGGTCGCATCCCATCTTAGACTTGCTGTAGCTGGCCTGACAGATGCTCTTTTAATGAGTCTCTCTCTGGATCCAGCCACCCTTGTGCTGGAATACAGGAAGATTTAGAGGAGTTTTTTTGAAGCAGAGACACAGGAAGAGGCAAGAGAGGAGGCATAGAAGAAATCACGAGCCCCCAAGAACCATAGAACCTTGGCTATGGTGGTAATCAGAATTCCTAAGGCTGATCCTTGGCTGTCAAGAGGAGATTCTCAGAGCCACGGTTGTCTTAGGAAGCTCTGGCTGACATCTGGAATGTGGATCGTACACGCTCTGAGGGGGGAAGATGTCGGCTCTGTTCCCCGATTGACTTTCATATCATTCCTACTTTTATAATACACTAGTCCTTGCTTATTAAAAGTCATTCCCTCTGGTCCCAGGGAAATGGAAGGAGATCTCTGGAGGTCTGGAGGTGGCCCACAAGAGCCTCATGGGCCCTGTTTGTTTCATGCATCTACTGGCGTTCCACACCCACTTCTGTCCAGTCCTAACTAAGTGATGGAGCTGGAGACCTTTCCTTCCATGCAAACATAACCTATTTGAGTACCGCTGCTTTCACCAGTTACTGATGCACCTGTCCTTGGTTCTTGTGATAAGAGCCTGTATGCACACAGGCCATTGGACTGGGCTCCTGGGACCTCAGCCAACATTGTGACATGGGTTTTAAGTCAGCAGTTTTGATGGATGAGATTTCAATGTTCTGTTTCCACGTAACAACAGCTCCACAAATGTGGCAGATTTTCACAATACATTCTCTACCTCACAGTGTCTGCACTTTAGAGGTCTGGAAACAGTTTAGCTATGCTCTTCCCTTGTGTTTCACAGGGCTGCTTTCAAGGTGTTGGGCTGCAGTCACCACTGAAGCTCAGATGGGAAGGATCTGAATCAAAGCTAAGTCAGGTTGTTAGGCAGAACATGCTTATTTCAGGTTGGAGATTCAGGTCATCAGTCTCCTGGTAGCTGTTGGCCAGAGGCCCCCATCTTCACACTGTATAGTTTCCCAACAATATCTTGCCACACTCAGCTCCCCTATGTTGCCACACATGAGCTCCCCTCATTTTCACTTGGTTCCTTTGCCAGAAACAGAGAATCAAAGCCTGGGTGGCAACTGATTTTATTGGAGCGTAATCAGGAACACACAATCTCATCCATGTTGTCACCTTTGCCTCATCCCATTGGAAAAAAGTGACAAGTTTTGCTCACACAGGGGCTACAGACAAAGGTGTGAAGAACACAGTGGATGACAGGGTCAAGTCATGATTTTTCTGAGGCAGAAGGCCACAGAAGGTGACATGAAGGAGAGAAATGCAGCATGTCAGCCTAGGAAGCAGAGTATGTTCTGCATACGTGGATGGGCCCTTCTGGAAATGGCAGCTGGTTGCCCCAGAAGAAGAGCTCTTACATTCTTCTCTTCTAACTCCCTTCCCCACACCATCTACGTCACCTGTTTCTCCAGAGCTGTCGAGTTTTCTGGTGCCTCTTCCCAGCCTATCTATTCCTCACATCAATCAGGGCCAATCCTCAGGCCAGTCAGGGTCCTGTCAGGACAGAGAAGCAACATCAGCAGTCTCCTTTATTTTTCTCTTAAACTTCATCAGGTCAAAAGACATCAAAACTTTTTTGAAACCTTTTTACTTTCATGTAGGTGGTTGAATAGCAATTGAACACATAAAAAATTGTGGACACAGAGCAGGGTGCGTAGCTCAGTGACAGAGAGCTTGTTCAATATGCATGAGGCTCTGGTTTCCACCTGCAACACCAGTGCAAATATTTAAAAAATTAAAGTATAAATAAAAAAGATGGAAAGAAATTGTGGACATGTACAAACAACCCAACAGCCAATATGTCATAGTTGATAACTGAGAAAGTCAATGTCACTGGGTTCTTTTTAGACAGTTCTGGAGACTGAGGCCCATTCTGCACTAATCCTTTCACTCCAGAGTGGGTAAAACAGCTACTTGTAGGAGAAATTGATTCACCTAAGCTCAGAAAATTCCACAGAGGCATAAAAAGAGCAGTGGAGAGTTAGAGAGCTCAGCAGAAGGCTTTGTGTACAGGACTCCAGATTTTGCCTAACCTTTATGAAACTTTTGTATGTTTTCAGCCAGCAGCAAAAATGATTTAAACAACAGCATTTAGTTTCTGTTGTAGAAAAATTGTCCTGGCAGAAGGTGGAAAGTAAATTGCAAAAGACTGAATGATGAATGAGATGCTCTAACAATCCCATTTCCCTAGCATTCTCCTCAAGAGAACATTAATGAATAAAAAAGAAATATAAAAAAATACAAATCAAAATAAAGTACCAGGCTGTAATAAGGAATGAAGTAATGGAATGACAGAAATGGCTGTAGGGTTGGGGAAGAGAGAACAGAATTAATATTTCAGCAGGAGTTTGTGACAGCCTTCACAGCACCTTGTGACCAAATTATGCAAGGAGAAATGGGACACAAAGTATCTAAGGGTGAGCATAGCCTGTGGTGTAGAAATGGGGAGAATGCATTTTCTGCCTTTTCCAGCTTTAAAGCATGTCTCCTCTCATGTCTGGGGCTTTTCTCCATATGTGAAGCCTGCATAGCCAGGGATAAAGCTCAGCAGCTTAAGGGTCTGTGTGGCAAGTGCAAGGCCCTGAATTTAAATCCCGGTACCAATAAAATAAAATAAAATAAAATAAAATAAAATAAAGCCTGCAGTCTAGTATTTTCTTTTCTCTCTCACCCGTGCTTCTGCCTTCACATCTTGTCTGCCTGTGACATCTTGTAGCCTCCAGTAAGAACACTTGTGATTATGTTGTACCCACTCAAATAGTCCAGGCCGATCTCTCCATCTCAAGATCCTTTACTTAATCACATGTGCCCAGTCCTTCTTGCCATGTGTGGTAACAATGCTTTGCCACCACTGCAGCAAAACCCCTAGGAAGAATAACTCCTGCTGGAATGGTTTAGTTTGGCTCATAATTCAAAATGATTCATTCCATTCCTGTGTCTGTGGAAAGCAAAACATCATGGCAGCAGGAACAGTGGGTAGAAGAGGTTGTTCAATTCATGGCAGACCTGGAAGAAGAGTCATGGAGAAAGAGCCAGAGAAGAAGTGTCTGGGGACAATCTACAGTTCCCAAGGTCACACCTCCATGACCCATTCCCTTCAACTAGGTCACATTTCTTAACATTCCATCCCCTCTCAGAATCCCATCAGATTAAGAATCCATCAACACATCAATCCGCTGATAAAGTTACAGCTTTTATGTTCCAAAGCACCACTTTTGAATACAAGAACATTTGGGGGAACATTGTATATCTAAACCATGACACTCAGTATCCAAGGATGAGGATGTAGATGGTTTTGAATGGTGATCATTGAGCTTATCATAGCCTCCATCCCTAGCCACATAGGCAGTTAGTTTTCCCTCCTTCCTGAAAAGGAACCAGGCCTGGGCACAGGGTCTGACTGGAATTCTCAAAGTATGTTATGTGATGTACCAGATCACTGGGAGTCTGCTATCATGGAAGTGCTTGGATGGGTTTTCTGTGTGATATAGTGTCTTCATAGTTTTCACATGTTTTGAGATTTCCATCCTCAAACAATCACCTCCATTTCACCAATCACCAGTCTTGCTTCCATTAAATTCCTAATCATCAGGGGCAAATGTTAGCAACTCTTTCATGAGGCCCTGA